TTATGTTAACCTCAATTATACATATATTATTAGTATTAATTTTACTCATTTTGTAGGATCTTACGATTTTTGATCCAGCCCGATAGACCCCCCTCCCCCAAACGATCTGAGGTAGGATCCCGATTTTATAAACCTTGGTCTACACACATACGCCATGACCCATCCTTCTTTGGAGTTAGAAAAGTAGGCACTCCACAAGGACTTAAGCTCTCTTTAATGAAGCCTTTAGCCAACAACTGTTTAACCTTTCTCCTAAGCTCAACGTGCTCTGTAGGATTGATACGGTAAGCAGGTAATATGGCCAACTTTCATGAGAAAAACATCAAACCACATTCTCTTCAAAATCTTTACTAATTAAGAAATTAACCCACCAACGGAAAGTTATTGGGATTGATGTGTCGTTCACCCATGCTACACGATAAGGATGAGGATGCTTCTCTATCTTTAATCTAAGCTTGTCAACAAGCTCTTGTGATGCCACATTGAGGCTAGTGATCCCATCAATGATAAGAGTGCATAACCTTCCTTGGCAAGAGACTTGTGTATGAAATATATTAGTGCGACGCCAATCCTTTTCGTCTCCTACTCTTTCTTATTATTTGGGGTTGTTTCCTCCTCATTCCTTCTCTTTTTCCTTCACTTCTTTCTACTCCTCCTTCTCTTTCCCTTCTCCTCCCTCCTCCCTTCTCCTTTTTCCTCCTCCTACTCATTTTTTGGGTTATTTCCTCCTTCTGCCTCTCCTTCCTTGTGTTGCTCCTCCTCCTCCTCCTCCATTCTTCTTCTCCTCCTTATACTCCCTCAATCTTTCGAGTGACTTTTCTTCTCCTCTTTTTCTTCTTTTTCTTCTCCTTATTCCTCTACTTTGCCTTCTCCTTCTTCCCCATTTCCTTCTTTGATTTTGCTTTAGTTCTTGTTTCTCACAATTCATCGATGTTTCTCAGAGGCACCATAAATTTGATCTTTCGAGTGACTACTCTTCTCTTCAACTTCTTCCCATGCTTTTCCGCCTCTCTCTTCTTCCTTTTGTTCCTTTTCCTCTTCCTCTTCCTCCTTATCCTTCACTTTCTCCTCTTCCTCATTCTTCTTCTCCTCCTCTTTCTCCTCACTCTTTCTTCCTCCCGATTTTCCTCCCTTTCCTTCTCTCTCCTCCCATGCTCCTTCCTCTTCTATTTCTCCTACTTCTGCATCTCTTCCCACTCCTTTTACTTGTGTAGCTTCTTCTTCTCCTCCTCTTTCATTTTTCTCCTCATTTTCCTCCTCCTCCTCATTCTCCTCATTGACCTCTTCCTCATCAGTTTTTTCCTCTATCTTTCTTTTCCTGATTTTCCTCCTCCCTTTCTTCCCTCCTTTCCCTTTTCTTTCCCCGATTTTGTTTTAGTTTTTGTTCATCACAATTCACTGATATTCCTCAAAGCCGCCGTAAATTTTGGAAAAAATTCCATTTTGCCCCTTAAAAGATACAAAAATTTTCAGTTTGTCTCTCGAATAATTAATTTTTTCATATTGCCCCTTAAAAAAATAAAAAAATTTCAATGTGCTTCACCATTTTATTTATTTTTTTATTTTTTCCGTTTGATCGTCCGTTTATTTTGTGATTCCTTATTGGTTGACTTGTTATAAAACAGATGGACGACCAAACGAAAATAAGACGGTGGATCACATTGTAATGATTTTTATTTCTTTGAGGGGACAATATAGTAAAATTAATCATTCTAGGGCAAACTGAGCATTTTTTATCCTTCAGGGGCAAAATAGGATTGACCCTAAATTTCGAGTGACTTCTCTTCTCCAGTTTTTCTCCTTCTTCCTCAGCTTTTCTTCATCTTCTTCCTTTTCCCTCTCCTTCCTTTTTCCCTTTTCTTTCTCCTTTTTTCCTTTTTTCCTTCTCCATTGTCCCTTAAAAGAATAAAAATGTTGCAATGTGATCCATCATCTTATTTATTTTTTCTATTTGGTCTTCTGTCTGTCTTGTGATTCCTAATTGGTTGATTTGGTACAAAACAGATGGACGACCAAACAGAAATAAAACGGTAGAGCACATTGCAATATTTTTCTCCTTTCCATTCTTTTCTTCCTTCTCTTTCTTCTCCCTCATTCTTCCTTTCATTTTCCTCCCTCTCCTTCTCATTGTCCTCCTTAGTCTTCTTATCCTCATTTTTTTCCTCACTTCTTCTTCCTTCTGATTTTCCTCCTTTTTTCGTTCTCTTTCCCTTCCATTGCTCTTTCTCCCTCTTTTCTTCTCTTCTATTTCCTCCTCATTTTCTTTCCCTTCTCCTCCTTCTTCCTCTTCCTTCTCCTTGTTTTTCTACTCTTCCTTATTATTTGCGTTGTTTCCTCCTATTCTTTTTCCTTATTCTCCCTCTCCTTCATTTTGTTTCTTCTCCTTCTCCTCTTTCTCCTGCTCTTTCTTTCTTTTCCCCCTTTTCCTTTTATTCCTTCTTTTTCTCATTGCCCTCCTCCTTATCATCATTCTCTTCCACCTCCATCCTTCTTTCTCTCTCATTTTCTCGTTTTCCTCGTTCCTCCTTTCTCTTTTCCTTTTCCTCTCTCCTTTTTCCTTCTACTTTTTTTTTAAGTTCTTTTTTATTATGCCTCTCCTTCACCTTCTTCTTTTTCTACTCCACTTTTGTCTTATTTCTATCATTCTCTTTCTTCGTCCTCTCTACCAATATATGCCCATCGTAAAAGAGTACTTTGTTATATTCACTCATTCTTCTTCCCAATTTTCCTCTCTTTCCTAAACTTTCTCCTCCGATGCTCCTTCTTCCTCTTTTATTTCTATTTCTTTGCATCTCTTCCTACTCCTTTTGCTTTTTGTTTTCGTCTCCTCTTTTTCTCCTCCTCCATTTTTCTCCTATATCTTCTCCTTCTTTTCCTCCTCATTTTCCTTCTCATTGTCCTCCTCAACATCATCATCCTCTTTTTCCTCTATTCTTCTTTCTCTCTTCTCTTCCTTCTCCTCCCTCCTTTTCTTTCCCTTTTCCTCCCTTTCTTTTTCCTCTTTTTTCTTTTAGTATTTCTCATTGTTCCTCTCCTTATTCTTCTTCTTCTACACCTTTTTCTTCCTATTCCTATCATTCTCCATCTTCTTCCTTTCCACCAATGTATGCTCATCGCAAAAAATTACTTTGTAATATTAACTTTGTGTTATTCTTCTTCTTGCTTCTGTTCCTTCTTCTTCCTTCCCATTTCATTCCACGATTCTATTTTTATTTCTGTTCGTCGCAATTCACTAATGTTCCTCAAAGTCGTCATAAATTTTGGAAAAAATTCCATTTTGCCCCCTAAAAGATACAAAAATTCTCAGTTTACCTCATGAATAATTAATTTTCTCACATTGCCCTCTTAAAAAATAAAAATATTGCAATGTGATCCATCGTCTTAATTTTTTTTTTCATTTAGTCGTTTGTCTGTTGTGTGATTCTTGATTGGTTGATTTGGTGCAAAACAGATAGACAATCAAACGAAAATAAGACGGTGGATTACATTACAACATTTTTATTGCTTTGAGGGGTAATATAGAAAAATTAATCATTTTGGGGCGAATTGTGCATTTTTGTATCTTTTAGGGACAAAATGGTATTGGCCCTAAATTTTGATCTTTCGAGTGACTTTTCTTCCTTATTTTTTCCTCAGTTTTTCCTCCTCTCATTCCTTCTCTTCCTTTTCCTTTTCCTTTTTCCCCTTTTCTTACTCCGATTCTATTTTAGTTTCTGTTTCTCGCAATTCACCAATTTTCCTTAGAGTCGTTATAAATTTTAATTTTTCGAGTGACTACTCTTCTTCTTCTTCTTCTTCCCCTTTCCGTTTTCTTCTACCTCCTCTTCCTATTTATCCTTCTCTTTCTCCTCCCTCATTCTTCTTCTCGTTTTCTTCCTCCTCATTGCCCTCCTTATTTTTCTTATTCTCTTCTTTCTCCTCTCAATTTTTCTCCTTTTCGTTATCTTTCCCCTCTCATGCTCCTTCTTCCTCTTGCTTCTTCCCATTTTCTTTCCTTTTTCCTTCTTCATCTTCCTTCTCCTCCTTTTTCTTCTACTCTTTATTATTATTTGGGTTGTTTCTTTCTCATTCTCCCTCTCCTTCTTTCTGTTTATTCTCCTCCTTATCTTCCTTCTCTTTTTCCTCCTTCATTCTCCTCCTCCCTCTTTTTCTCTTACTCCTCTTTCCCATTGCCCTTCTCCTTATCATCATTCTCTTTCTCCTCCATCTTTCCTCGCTTATTTCCTCCTTTTATTCTCCGCTTTTTCCATTTGGTTGTTTGTCTGTTTTGTGATTCCTGATTGGTTGATTTGGTATAAAATAGATAGATGACCAAACAAAAATAAGACGATGAACCACATTGCAACATTTTAATTTCTTTGAGGGGGCAATGTAAGAAAATTAATCATTCTCGGGCAAACTGAGCATTTTTGTATTTTTCACTGGCAAAATGGGATTGAATTTTGATCTTTCGTGTGATTTCTCTTCTCTATTTCTTCTCCTTCTACCTTAGCTTTTCCTCCTCTGCTTCGTTTCCCTCTCCTTCTTTCTTCTCCTTTTTTCCTTTTTCCTTATTCGATTCTATTTTTGTTTCTGTTTCTTGCAATTCACCGATGTTCTCAGAGTCGTCATAAATTTTAATCGTTCGAGTGACTACTCTTCTTCTTCTTCCTCCTTCTCTTCCTATTTATCCTTCTCTTTCTCCTCCCTCATTCTTTCTCTTGTTTTCCTCCTCCTCCTTCTCACTATCATTCTCTTTCTCCACACTTCTTCTTCATCCCGATTTTTCTCCTTTTCCTTCTCTTGTTATGGGAAAGTGGATCCCATTTGTTCATTAATTGTATTCTTTCTCCAGCTGTATGGAGAAGAATTTCTGCTGTTATGGGGTTTGAAATCCTTTTAGGAGAATCCCCAATGTGTAGATTTTTTAGGTTGATAAGAAAGTTTAGAGCTCATTCTCTGAGTCATAGTTTGATCAGAGGTGTTTCTATGTTGATCTTTTGGGCTTTGTGGAAGGAGAGATGCAAGTGATAAGTGCCTTGAGATGGCAGGCATTTCTTATAAGGCCTGGGATAGGTGATGACTTTAGAGGAAAGGAGTTACTGCAGGAGTTGAACATTAGGTCTTCTTTTTCCTTTGTCAATAAAGTCAAGTAGATTAAGTGGGAACCTCCTCCTGAAAATATGTTGAAGCTGAATGTTGATGGTGCCTCCAAAGGCAAAACTGGTCTGTCAGGTGGTGGGATGGTGTTGAGGAATCATGAAGAGCATGTGATGTTAGCTGCTGCTTGCTTTTATGGGATGGGCTCAAATATGTCAGCTAAGTGTATGGCTTTGTTAGATGGCTTGCTGTTGATCCTGCAGCATGGTTTGGCAGATTTTCAAATCCTTGTGGAATCTGATTCTCAAACTTTAGTTCAGATGGTGTTGGGTTTAGCTGAGGTCCCATGGAGATTGCAATCTTTTTTGAAGAGGATTAAACAGCTATTTGCCATTTTGAATCTGCAGATAATGGGGTTGCTGATTTCTTAGCTTCCCTTGCAGTTCAGACTGAGAGGAATTCTGAATTCTCTGTCAGTGGTGCTTTGCCACTTGCTGGGAGGTTGATTCTGCAACAGGATCAGAGCAGGTTGCCTACTGTCAGATTAAAGAGAATGATTGCGGTCAAAGACAGGGAGTTGGATGATGTATTTTGGTTTCTAAATTGGGGTCTGTTCAGGGGCAGACGGCTGTATCTGCCAGTTGGTCTGGTGTCCTAGCAGTCCTTGGAGTTTCAGAAGGTGTTGCCGGTGTTTTAATTTGTTGGGGAGTTCTAGAAACAGCAGTTATTGAAGGAGGTACAAAAGTTATACCATCAGAGAGTAAACTATTTACATCCAGTGTTTCTGGTGTGTAATGGTCGACTAGCTGGGCTATGTTGGATAGTTTCAAGGTTTTGATCCTTTTAAAGGATTAAAGCCAACTTTTTGTACGGCTTATTTTGTTGAGGCTGGATGACTTGCTGAGGTATTGGTTGTAAGCAATGGTTTGCTGTGTTGAGAGGAGTTGAGTTGTTTACTGCATTGCTGTGTTTCTGAAGCCTGATGGTGGAGTAGCTACTGATAGCTTTATGGCTTTGAGCTCTTATGATCTGATTCTGCTGTGTTCTTTGCTGCACTGCTGTTTTGGGCAGTCAGTATAGGATGAATGTTGGGTCAGTTGCTGAGGTGCCTTCTGTATGCACTGGTCTGCATTGTTTCTGAAAAATTGTTCTAGCTGGGTGATGATGTGCTGTGTTTTGATCATGCTGCTAGAGGGTTGAGCTGAGCACAGGTGCAGGAGCAGTATCTGAGCTGCTGTTGCTGACTGCTGCTGGTCTGCTTCTGGAGTTTGTCTGAACTGCAGTGATCAGTCAAAGCAGAAGCTGAAAATAGTTGCTGTACAGGACAGTTTGAGGATAACAGAATTTTTTCTGTTTTTTTGTACAGTTACTGTTTTTGTTGTTTAACTGTTACTGTTTTGCTTAAACAGTTTCAGTTTTTGCTTCTTGTAATTTTTGGTTTTCATGCAATAAAATTCTCTCTTTTTCTTAAAAAAAAAGAAAAATTCTTCCTCTTGTTTTCCTCCTCCTCCTTCTCACTATCCTCATTCTCCTCACTTCTTCTTCATCCCAATTTTCCTCCTTGTCCTTCTCCTTCCCTTCTCATGCTTGTTCTCCCTCTTTCCTTCTCTTTTATTTCCACGTCATTTTCTTTCCTTTCTCCTTCGTCTCATGCTTGTCCTCCCTCTTTCCTTCTCTTTTATTTCCACGTTATTGTTTTTCCTTTCTCCTTCCTTGTCTTTCTCCTCCTTTTTCTTCTACTCTTTCTTATTCTGGATTCTTTCCTCCACTTCTTCTTTCCTCATTCTCCCTCTCCTTCATTCTGTTGCTTCCCCTCTTTCTCTTCCTCCTCCTCCTTCATTCTTCTCCCCATTCTTTTCCTCTTACTCCTTCTCTTTCACATTGTCCTCCTAATCATCATTTTCTTTCACCTCCATCCTCCATCCTCTCTCATTTCCACCTCCTCATCTTTCCTTATTTTACCTGATTTTTCTCTCTCCTCCTTCCTCCTCATACTCATTTTTCTTAAATTTTTTTTTCCTCTCCTTCACCTTCTTCTTTTACTCCATTTTGTTTTTATTCCTATCATTCTCCTTCTTCCTCTCTACCAATGTATGCCCATCGTAAAAGAGTACTTTGTAATATTGACCAAGTACTATTCTTCTTCTTCTTCTTCTACTCTTTCTCCCTTCTCCTTACTCCTCCGTCCCAATTTTCCTCCATTTCCTTCTTTTTCTCCTCTCATGCTCCCTTCTTCCTCTTCTATTTCTCTTTCTTCTACATCTCTTCCTACTCCTTTTACTTCTTAGTTTTCTCCTTCTATTTCTTCTTTTTCTCCTCCTTCTTCATTCTTCTCCTCCCTCTTTTCCTCATTTTCCTTCTCATTGTCCTCTTCATCATCATCATCCTCATTCTCTTTCTCCTATATTCTTCTTTCTCTCTCTTTTCTTCCTTCTCCTCCCTCCTTCCTCCTCCTTGAAAAGTCTGCTGTCAAATCCTACGGCTCATCCTTGGACTAGCGGTAGAAACTACCAAGCTGGAGTACAGTAGGGGCAGAGAGAATTTTCGGTGGAGCGGTGAAATGCATAGAGATCGAAAAGAACACCAACATCGAAAACACTCTGCTAGGGCGACACTGACATTGAGAGATGAAAGCTAGGGGAGCGAATGAGATTAGATACCCTAGTAGTCTTAGACATAAACGATGGATACTAGACGTTGTGCGTATTGACCATGTTCTATTCTAAGATATTCCCTTTCATTAGCTATGCGAAGTTAGACCTTGACTGAAAGGAAAGGAGAAGGGACAAGTAGCTCTGATAGCACATAGAAGACTGTTTTTTTATAGCACCACTGAACCAATTGCCATTCACTGGCTCCATACTTCTCCTCCATTCTTCTTCCTCATTTTTCTTCTACTCTTTCTTATTGTTCCTCTCCTTCACCTTCTTCTTCTACTCCTTTTTCTTCCTATTCCTATCATTCTCCTCCTTCTTTCATTTGTTCTTTTTCTCCTCCTCATCCTTCATTCTTCTCTTCCTCTCCTTCCTTCTATTCCCTCCCGTTCTCCTCCTTCTTCCCCTTTTCATTCCCCGATTATGTTTTAGTTTCTATTCCTTGTAATTCACTGATGTTTCTCAAAGTCGCCATAAATTTTAGGAAAAATTTGCAGTTTACCTTTTCCTCATTGTCCCCTAAAAAAAATAAAAATGCTGCAATATGATCCGTTGTCTAATTTTTTTAATTTTTTTTTCATTTGATCGTCCGTTTGTTTTGTGATTCCTGATTGATTAATTTGGTACAAAACAAATACACGACCAAACAGAAATAAGACGGTGGGCCACATTACAATATTTTTGTTTCTTTAAAGGGACAATATAGAAAAACTAATCATTCTGGAAACAAATTGAGATTTTTGTATCTTTCAAGGGCAAAATGGGATTGACCCTAAATTTTGATATTTTGAGTGACTTCTCTTCTTTAATTCTTCTTTTTCCTCAACTTTTCCTTTTCTTCTTCCTTCTCCCTTTCTTTCCTTCACTGATTCTATTTTTGTTTTTGTTTCTCGCAATTCACTAATGTTCCTCAGAGTCGTCTTAAATTTTAATCTTTCAAGTGACTACTCTTCTCTTCTCCTTTTCCTTCTCTTTCCCCTTTCCATTCTCCTCATTCTTTTCCTATTTATCCTTCTCTTTCTCCTCCCTTATTCTTCCTCTTGTTTTCCTTCTTCTCCTTCTCATTGTCCTCCTTATTCTTCTTCTCTTTCTCCTCACTTCTTCCTCTTGATTTTTCTACTATTCCTTCTCTTTCCTCTCATTTTTCCTTCTCCCTCTTTCCTTCTCTTCCATTTCCTCCTCATTTGTTATCCCTTTTCCTCCCTTTTCATTCTCCTCCATTTTCTTCTACTCTTTCTTATTCTAGATTGTTTTCCCCTCTTCTTCTTCCTCATTCTCCCCCTTACTTCATTCTTCTCCCCTCTGTTTTCCTCTTACTCCTCTTTTTCATTGTCCTCCTCCTTATCATCATTCTCTTTCACCTCCAACCTTCTCTTTTCTACTTCCTTATCCTTTCTACTTCTTCTTCTTCTTCCTCCTCCTATTTCTTTTTCTTAAACTCTTTCTTATTATTCCTCTCCTTCACCTTCTTTTTTTAATATTCCACTTTCTTCTTATTCCTATCATTCTCATTTTTCTTCCTTTCCACCAATGTATGCCCATCGTAAAAGAGTATTTTGTAATATTTACTTAGTGCTATTTTTTTTTCTTCTTTTACTCCATTATCTTCCTCCTCCTCCTCTTTCTCCTTACTCCTTCCTCCCAATTTTCCTCCCTTTCATTTTTTTTCTTCTCCCATGCTCCTTTTTCCTCTTCTGCATCTCTTCCTACTTCTTTTTCTTCTCCTTCTCTTCTCCTCTTTTTCCTCCTTTTTTTCCTTCTCATTGTCCTCCTCCTCTTCCCATCATCATCATCATTCTCTTTCTCTTTCTCTTCTATCCTTCTTTGTCTCTCTTTTCTTCCTTCTCCTCCCTCCTTTTTCCTCCTCCTTTTCCTCCCTCCTTTTTCCTCTTTTTTCTTCTACTCTTTCTTATTGTTTCTCTCTTTCACCTTTTTCTTCCTATTCCTATCGTTCTCCTTCTTCTTCCTTTCCATCAATGTATGCCCATCGCAAAAGAGTACTTTGTACTATTGACTTATCGTTGTTATGCTTTTTCTACTCCTGCTCCTCCTTCATTCTTCTTCTTCCTCTCCTCCTTCTTCCCCTTTTCCTTTCCCAATTCTGTTTTAGTTTCTGTTTCTCGCAATTCACTGATGTTCCTCAAAACTGCTATAAATTTTGGAAAAAATTCCATTTTTTCCCCTAAAAGATACAAAAATTCTCAGTTTGCTTCATGAATGATTAATTTTTCCACATTACCCCTATTAACTAATAAAAATGTTGCAAAATAATTCACTATCTTATTTCCTTTTTTTTGTTTTCATTTGATCGTCTGTCTGTTTTGTGATTCCTGATTGTTTGATTTGGTACAAAACAGATGGACGACCAAACCGAAATAAGACGGTGAACTACATTGCAACATTTTTATTTCTTTGAGAGGACAATGTGGGAAATTAATTATTCGGGAGGCCAAACTGAGCATTTTTGTATCTTTCAGGGGCAAAATGGGATTTATCATAAATTTCGATCTTTCAAGTGGCTTTTTTTTTTTTTCAAGGAAAGAGAGAATTTTATTTATTGAAATCCAAAATTACAAGAAGCAAAAAACAGTAACTGTTTTAACAAACAAAACAGTAAACTATACAAAAATCCAAAAATCTGTTAAAATCCTGTACAGCAACTGTTTTTTGGCCCTTCAGCACAGCTCCTGCCTCGACTGATCAACATGCAGTTCAGCTCTTGCACTATTGCTTAACAAATCTGAAGCTTAAGCTCACTCTGATGCAGCTTAAGTCAGCTCACACTGATGCACATGCTTCTCAGCACCTTCAATCAGCTCACTGATGCAGCTTTAGAAGCTTAAGACCTGATACAATCTGCACTCCTCACAACAGCCCAGTCATCAAGACAGAACCCAAAACAGAAACTGTTTAATAAAAAACAGTAACTGTTATACCAAACAGAAAAATAGTACACTGTTTTTAAAAAAATCTGCTATAGAGCTGCTCCATTTGCTCCTCCTCTCTTCAGCTTTCAACACCTCTAATCATACCCAAGAAACCTTAACTCAT